TGTAGCGAAGTATAACTAGCTCTTAAAACAAACTAGGACTCTTGTCCTCATCGCTCTCTTGAAACGCAAAGTTCGAGGAGGGACAAAAACAAAGCAGATTTTTAGAAATTATTTATTCAATCTTGCTTAAAATGTGTGGTGTTTACGACACTGAGACATACACGAGACACGATAATGACACATCTACACGATAATTACACATCTACACAGAAAACAAACGCTCTGAGCCCTGAAGATGACTTCAATAAAGATCGAAACGTTGGCACGATAAAGTAAACGTTTTTCGAAAACCTACGTCACACCAGACCGCATCTCATGATCTCCAAATAATCTTATTTAAAATTTAAAAAAAAACATAATGAATGACAAAATAATTTTAACACCCAGTAGGATGCACCTTTCTCCAGCCCAGTAAGCGTTCGATTTGGAAGGTCGTAGAGGCTACGAACATCTTGAGAAAATTTCTTTCTTCCCATTCTTCTTGGATAGTGCGTTTCATCTTTTCTGTGTTCTGGAACTTCCAGCCTCCTATAAACAGCCTTCACATATCCCCTAAGAGATTCAATTATAGTAAACTCAGGAGTCCTATGGGCTGGCCATTCCAAAACTTCATCTTTATTTTTGAAAAAAAAGAAGAAGTTTTTACCACTTTTGCCGTATGAACAATATGTCCAACTGAAGGACATATTCACATGGTATTGTATTTGTTGTATTGGTCCTTATTATTTGATTTTTTATTGATTCTAGATATTGCATACTGTTCTACTAGCCACTCCATATCATCATACTTCCTTTACTTACTAGTCTTTTGGAAAATAACCACTTCTTCCTTTACGAGGTCGTGGAAATAATATGCTCAAACAGCCTCAGTCCGTTGAGCCGTCGTTACATCTGAAAATAGAAGTCTTCTCTATGCCTCTGCTTAAACTGCTCAAAAATGAATAGGGATAATTGAAATTTATTCTTATTGTATTTATTTTAATTAAATTAACCGATATATTCTTGTTAGTGGGATAAAACAAAATAGAAAATACAAACCGAAAACAAATGCTAATCCTCATTTTTTATAACGGATTTACCAAAGATTACTCGTTTTGTAAACAAACGCCTTTTCTCGTCTTTTCTCCATTTTAATACAGCTGTATTCTATTTAACCATAGAAAGACATTACCTTGAACCATCATTTCGCAATATTGTGAGAATAATCAATAAGTCATAGAGGTCACCTGCAAGTTGATATCGCAGAGTCAGTTGGCGTTTTTCAATGCTTGGTCTCCCGAGCTTCAGCCCGATTCTGAAAGACTGGAAGTGCCAATAGGAGGCATGGTAATGGATCTCAGTGCATTACGACGCTAGGGGAGGACAGAAATATTGGTCCGTTGAAAGACGGAACCCTTTACATAGTGCCTGCCAGATCCTAAATGAAGTACAAGATGTTTTGGCAAAGCTTTTATCAACGATTACGATTCGTTTATGGGAAGTTGGCCTCACATGGTACACCACTTTGAGACGACCACCAACAGCACGCCACCAGCAACCCGGAAAATATGATGCAGTGAGTGCCTAGAAGACAGCACCAATTGGAAGTTTGTTATGTTTACTGATAAGTCAAGTTTCTGTCTGTGTAGGGACAGCAGGCGCAGAAGTGTCTACCGGGAACGTGCATACAATGCTCCAGTACGTTCTCTACAGAGCAGTTTGGAGGAGGCGGTGTAATGGTCTGTATTGAGATATACACTGGAAGACGAACTGGACTCCATATTGTTGAAGGCAATCTCACCGCAGTCCAAGAAATATACAGGAATACTTCCATCAAACCAGCGATCTCTTTGGCATGGATTTTCGATTTCTGGGTGACAACTGACTCATCATAGAGGCAGGGTTGTTACTCAATGTTTAGAAAACATGGGAATTTCCCATCTGTACCTTCCCCCATTGTCTCCAAACCTCAATCTCATTGAGCACATGTGGGATACGTTGCAGAGAACACCTTTCGATCATCCGCAGCCAGTTAATCTGCAACATCTGAGTGCAGCGTTGCAGCATCTATGGAGTGGAATTCCTTAGGAAATTAGTGACATCCTTATTAACAGTATGACTAACAGGTGCACAGTGGTTTTTGCTAACAGAGGATATTATACACGGTATCATTTGTTTAAAAAATTGATTGTGTCATTAAACAAAATTATTGTATTAAAACCTTTTATTTCGTTATTTTTTCAAAAATCCCACAATTAAATTTGCCTTTAGTAAAAACATAATTTCTAATAACTCTTAATGCAATTTATAATGCAAATACAGTAAAAATGCTAGGGAAAGTAAATACTACAAAATTGGCAATACCACTATTAATTTTTGAGCAGTTTAGTAGATAGGTAAACTGTTTATGGCTTCCTTATTAACTTTATTTAGTGCAGTATCCATTTCATTTTCTTCTAGATGTGCGTGGCATCATTTATGACCCTCTTTACGTTTTTAATGTTGGTTTATACTCCAGTTCTTTGTGCGATTTGCCGAGCTGTCAAACAGGAATTTGAAGCATTCTCAAAATTTTTATTCGGAACATTTTCTTTATCGTGCCAACGTTTCGATCTGTATGGAGATCATCTACAGGGCCTGGGATTTATACACATTGTTTGAATTTTACAAATACATGTAGGATGTGGAAAAAAATTGAATTTATACAATGCTAATAATTTACAAATACCTAAATGTATTTGTAAAATGCTACCATTGTATAAATTCAATTTTTTATCTAAAATTTACTAGCATTGTATAAATTCATTTTTTTAACCTAAAATTTTCTAGCATTGATAAATTCATTTTTTTAATCTAAACTTTTCATGTGTGTACAAGTATAAACATGTATTTGTAAAATTCAAACAATGTTTATATCAATAAACAATGCTGAAGATGATCTCAATAAAGATCGAAACGTTGGTACGATAAAGAAAATGTTTTTCTAAAACCTACGTCACACCAGACCGCATCTCACGATCCCCGAATGATCAATGACTACCGGTCACTAAACATCACAAATTCTCAAAATTGCTCGTTTTTCATCCCTGGTTAAGACAGATGGTCCTCTTGGTATTTTCTCCTTTCTGTAGTCTTCTGGATTATTTAGATAGATAGATAATTTCCTACTTCATCCTATGTTTTTCGATAATTACAAACGCTAACATGGATAGTAGCAACAAGCTGAGTTTCATAACTTACTGCACAATTGAATTTTTTACAAAGAACAGGTGTGCTATCTTTTTGTTCCACTAAAAAGTCAATATTTATTATTATTTCCCGGGATTCAAATTTTATTGACAATTAAGTAACAAAATTCAGTTGAAATTTAGTTGAAAAAGTCATTTTTGTAATAAAATAACAATGAAATGAAATACTTGGGTGGGTTAGCTTTTTGTTCCGGAATTTATGAAGAGTTTACATTTTTGTAGGAAAATCTATTCCGTCCTGTTGAAGATATTTATATAACATTTCCCCGTTTTTTTAAGTTATTGATACATCCCAGGATAACGTGATTTGCATCGTCGGTTATTCTTGTGTCACATTCACACCCCACGTTGTCAAAGATACCAATTTTGGCCAGGTGGTATGGCAGCTGGTTGTAGCTAAAACGCAGCCCGTATATTGTTGTAAAGATTTTTCTCTGCACGGCCATGCTAGACCTACAAAATCACACAAATAACAAAATCAAGTTCAATAGCATAACTTCATTATATATAGCAGAAAGCATGACTTCCAGCTATGAAGCCAACTGCTAGATGTAGTTGACATAAGCAATACGATAAATGTCAACTGACGAAAGGTCTCTACTACACCAACGTTCAACTTATCATATACAATACATCCTGGTATCATAATAATATTCGATTGTAAGGGAAGACATTTCGCGATACAGTGCATTTATCCTACCATAATTGTTTTTAAAATATAACCGATTGTAAGTTTGCTTAAAAAAATTCAAATTAGGTCAAAATATTTGTCTATTGTAAGTAATTAAGCTTAATAAACAAACGAAACAAAATTCTTTGGCCGGGTTGTTTTTGATTTTCGATTCCAGCTTGTGTATAAATTACGTAAGATTTTTGACCAAATTATTATTAATTTGTTTTTGACGTTATTTTTTGTGAGTTAACAATCTTGTTAAATTGTGATGCTTGGCTTGTTGACGAAGCGTTACCGGCAGCTAATATCGATCATCACTTGGTTCACAAGTTCCATCTCTCTTCTTCCTGGTCAGTAGCTTTATTTTTTCTGATAAATTTTCTATTGACTAGCAATATCATTCTTACAGCCTCATAAAATAGTTGTTTTACAGAGTAACCGACTTTTGGCTATTCATTAATCTTCTTTTTTTTTAATAAATAAAATCTAATTTGATAACTCATGACAGATTTGGTCCAACATAAAAATCTTTGTAAGATTAAAAATAAAATAAGGTGAAATGTTTATGAAATTTGTTGGAAATACACATATATCAGACGGACTCAGGCTATTAGACATGTACGAAGTTTCTTACGGCTTTTTATGATAAATACGATGAGAAAAAATGTTATCGTTCGAATTAGAGTCAAAGTATAAGAAAATATAATGTCAAAGGTCAAAGCTATCGTTTCCTGGTTTGTTCTCAAGATTTCCACAACCGACTATCGAAAGGGTGACTACTTCGAGATAAGGAAAAATCATAATGACGAGAATTCATTTGTATTGCGCATTGATTGTCTTGATGAACTTTTGTTGCTATGATATAACGAAAAAGAATAGAACGACAAACACATCTGACAAATAAATCAAGGGTAAGAACAAAATGTCCGGAAACGACCGAGATTCATTACGCAGACAGAAAAAACATCACAAAAAGACAATAGTCAAAATTTTATGTCTTCAAAGTACGTCATAAACCACAAATGGCCTATCAAATAAAGCAATTACTCCTCTATATACGGGTTATACAATATACATAATAGATTGTACTTTTTCTTCAGATGGGACATGTCATCGTGACGTCCATCAGCTTAATTTGGGTCTTGCTGACCATTGTGGCGACCCTGTCGGTCTTCTCTGCTCTGTTCAGCCCAAAATGGCTCATCGGACCTCAGAGGATCGTTTCTGGTAAGTGATTAATCATGTCACATACTTAGTTATTCTTAATATCTGACGAACATAAAAAAAATGGTGAGTGCAGTGGATGATCTCTGACTTTATTGAATTATGAACGTCACCTTCGTAAATAATGTAACTAGAAAAGTTTGTACGATCTCTTCAGCTACCAAAGATGTTAACTTGTAAGTCCTCAGTCAAACATTCTTATAAGTTAAACCCTTAGGAAATTTGGACGTATGTTTTGACAAAAGCTAATGAAAATCTATAAATTGTGTTTATTGCTTTTTGAAGAGAACGGCGTGCCTGTGGCGACTAACACACCGACTGTGGGCGTGTTCAACAGGTGCACAAGGTTGAACCATACAAAAAACTGCGCAGTATTCGCCATCGATGGACTTTCAACGGATTCCAACGTCTTTCCGACCATGTGGAAGCTGTCACTTGTGTTTTTCACCCTGGGCCTCACCGTCATGGCCTTCACTGCTATGGCTGCCCTCCTTAGCTGCTGTATCCAAAGTGTCTACAAGAAGAGCATCTTCACCGTCACCGGAAGCGTTCAGGCACTCGCAGGTGAGTGAAGCCTTAAAAATTAGTTGTTCTCAGTAGTTCACTGTTTTAAAATACTGTTATAAAGATTATTTTCGTACTCTCATTGTTTAGAAATGAATGGATAGTGAAATAATGTGTAATTCACAATAATTTAATAGTCCATTTTTTCTTACGTACATTTTATAATAAAAAAAATTAATTCTCACATCTTGAAATTTTTTACTTTCATATTACACCTAATCATGTGCTAATGACAGAATGTAAAATTCCTGTTATACAGGAGGGCTTAACATCCAAATACCAAAAAAATAAATAAAATTAAATAAAATCAAATAAAAAATAAATAAATAAAATAAAGTAAAAAATAAATAATTAAGTGAAGTTGGTGTGATTCAAATATCATAGGCACAATTTTATGACCCAATTTGAATTTAAATATCTGCACTATTCATTTATAGACATGGGAAAAAGGAACAGCCCTGCCTCAATGAACGCTCAGATAAGGGTTGATGAGATAACAAGGTCCTAAGCGGTCGTACATTGCCCTCTTCTTTATCACAATAACTATTTTCTTTTTTCGGCTATTTTCCTAATGAAAAATCAATTCCAAGCATTCGGTTTTCAGGGCTTTTTTACGTTCTTGGAATCGTGATGTACGCTGCTGGATGGGGAAGCAACAGAGTGATCAGGCTGTGTGGCGCAGAGGCGCAACCTTTTTACCTTGGGGACTGTTCAATTGGTAAAAGAACTAATAAAAGATTGAGTTTGATTTTTTAAAATAAATTCCATTTCAGGCTGGTCCATCTACCTAGCGGTGTTTGGTATACTCTTAACACTTCTAACAGCAAGCATCTCTGTTTATGCAGAGAAGACTACATCAAGTGACAAAGTTTGCAGACATGTCGAGAAAGGGGATACCCTCGTCTGTTTGCTCTAGGTAGTGTTTAAAAAAATCAAGTATTTCAATAAAACATAAATTTTATTAAAATGATATATATATAAATAATATACACATAGATACAGCCTAATCTAATTAAACTACTTCTTTTCCCAGACAAGGAATTTGTTGTTTGCCGGCAAGTCATGTTGGTTTTTGAGGTGAAGGCCGTTTGTGATCGCCAAAGGCTTGAGCTCCTTTTCGATGTCTCTCAGTCCCCATGAGGGGTCCCTTTCTCGCAGCATCTTGTCAAAGTTTACATTGCTCTCGGGTGTAATCTGCCCATTTACCGCATAAGGGCCATATGTAAACAAATAACCACCAGGTTTCAAGAGGTAGCTGCTTCCCTTGAAAAGGCCTGTAAATAAACGATATATTAACCAAAGGATATTTTTTAAATTTACGCTTATGTACATTATAATTATTTATATATTATCTTTTTTTAACTGTAGTTAAATGTAATTAATTTTTAATTTATTATAATTATTTACATACTATTAATTTTATGTTTTAAAAATAATTGCATTGTATTCTTGAATATTCCCAATGAACTTATGATATTTCATCAATTACACCTTGATCCATGTTTATGATATATATCAATAATAATGATGAATTTCCTAGAAACATTATGCTATCAAAATTTAAGAAAAAATATAAATTTTAGCGGAATGCTTGCTCTCATTATAAATTTTAATCTGAGACTTTAAGAACTAAGTGTATTTTATGCATTTTATTGTAAGTGAATATGACCAAATGTTGCTATTTTATTATAGCTGCTAGATGCATGAAATAAATATATTTCACTTAGTGTTTTATTCAATCTTCAAATGTACCTTCTATTCATGAATGAAAGTTTCTTTAAAATCTACCAGCCAGTACATTTAACATTTTGAATTTTTTTTGCAGCTTGTGCATTGTGAGATAATTACCTTCAGTGCACGCCCACTCTGAGATGTGAATCAGGTTGATGTTGAGGATGTAGTCAAGCGAATTCGGTTTAAGAGTGCCATTAATCCAAGTATCGACTGGAGTGCGCACATCAAGGAAATGAGGCTCTTTGATATTTTTCAACGAGCTGTCCTTTCTGTAAACCTTGATGCTGTTCAACGATGATGATTCGAACTCCGTCGGTTGGAAAACAATTTTAGGGAAATGAGGCGCAAAATGGACCGCATGCTGACCAGAGCCGGAGGAAACCTCAAGAAGCGAGCCTTCCTTTGATGTGTCAATGTATTGCTTGAGTGCGTCGAGTATTGGCTCTTTGTTGCGATCAGCAGCCGGATGCTTGTGCTTCACCATCTGTTCCTTTAAGCTAGACATTTTAAAACAAAAAAACAAAGTTTGTCTTACATTCTTCTTTAAAAACCTTTTTAACAATTTAATTTTTTATCAGACATTTTTCATAAGTGGACTTTTATACATACTTTAGATATGACTCATGAGAAGACATCCTTACGATTAGCCTTTTGATGGCTTTTTCCCATATAAATTTATCTAATAAATAATAAATAAATATTTATTAATCACGCCAAACTTATTTAATTATCAAAATAAAACAAACATAAAATCCTAACTGAAATAATATTCACGGACTGTTATATTTAAATACCATTCCTAACTTAATATTTTATCAAGCAGTAAATAAAATAAATTTTTTATCAAAAGATTTTATAGGGACAAAACGTGAACACAATCAAACAATAATTACCAATAACTAATAAAAACTTGTCAGAAATGTAAAAACCATCTGAAAATCTTTGTTGGTAAAAACTATATTATCTATAGAACAGAATAGAAAATATTTTATTCGCATTCTTGGTGCCATACAAAGGGAAACATATCATAATGGAGAACAATATTCAGTAAGTCAAAGTATTTGAGCTGGTCAGCAGGAGTATTAAGAACAGAAGAAAAATAAAACATAACATGACATATTATTAAATAATGAAAAACATCACTTATATCAATTCTTTCTCAACACTGACGTACAATATATGTTGATGAATGAACGTAAAATAAAACAAAACCCTCAAACTTAAACATAGTTCACTTATTTGGAAATTGTGAGATACGGTCAGAAGTGACGTAGGTTTCAGAAAAACATTTTCTTTATCGTGCAACGTTTCGATCTTTTATTGAGATCATCTTCAGGGCCTGGGATTTATACACATTGTGTGAATTTTACAAATACATGTAGGATGTGGAAAAAAATTATGAGTATACAATGCTAGAAAAAAATTTTTAATCTAAAATTTTCTACCATTGTATAATTCATAATTTTTTCCACATCCTAAATGCATTTGTAAAATGCTAGCATTGTATACATTTTTTTAATCTAAAATCTTCTAGCATTGTATAAATTCATTTTTTTATCTAAAATTTTCTAGCATTGTATAAATTCATTTTTTTTTTATCTAAAATTTTCTAGCATTGTATAAATTCATTTTTTTATCTAAAATTTTCTAGCATTGTATAAATTCATTTTTTTTTAATCTAAAATTTTCTAGCAATGTATAAATTCATTTTTTTAATCTAAAATTGTCTAGCATTGTATAAATTCATTTTTTTTTATCTAAAATTTTCTAGCATTGTATAACTTCATAATTTTTTTTCCACACCCTACATGTATTTGTAAAATTCACACAATGTGTATAAATTCCAGGCCCTGAAGATGATCTCAATAAAGATCGAAACGTTGGCACGATAAAGAAAAAGTATTTCTGAAACCTACGTCACACCAGACCGCATCTCACGATTTCCAAATAATCATAAACTAACTATCACTAATCGCCACACATAGTTAAATTATTTAAGGTTTTTTAATGTTTAAACATAACATAGATTTAATTAATTAAACAAAACAGTTTAAATACATTAGAAAACAATCAAACTCTGGTTTTAAAATTTTTAAAGAAAATCAATGAGTACAATATTCTTTAAGGCTAGATATGCTTTAATAATTGGTCTTATTACATAACAAAAAACTGTGTGCAATTTAAAGAACAATTTTAGTACAAAGTACATGGTTAACTTTAGTCATTAAACAATTAAAATTAAATCTAGTCAAATACAACCAATTTGGTGAATCATAAATAAAATTATTTCTATATGCAAAAGTAAAAGTTTTTAATAAATAACTTGTCTAAATTCAAAACTTGTATTTTATAATACAGATGAAGTTTTTGTTAAATATAATTTTTCTTAAAGAATTTACTACAATTTTTATTGATTTCTGATTTATAAAAGTTCAAATCTGCGAAGTTGAACCTATCCTATCATTCTGTAAACAAAACAAATCAAATTTTGGGTGACAATAGCAAAACCAAATAGGTGTACTAGTAAGAACCTTGGTAGTTAATACTAAATCCCATTTTCTTTCTTTTGCATGATGTCAAAAAATGAAAAACGTACAACTTTAAACAAAAAATACGCAAGAAAAGCCAATTTTAAATTTTTCAATACCTTAAGACAAAATTACCTGATAAATGGCTAATAATTGTGACTAGTAACTAAATTACACGTTCCATTTTCATCCCTATTGAAAATAAAACTTTTTTATAACAAATTTTTATACACAAAAGAAATTAAACTTTGGTGACAATTACAAAAACCGAATTAGCATATAGCAAGTACCAAGTAGTATAACCTTGGGAGCTAATATTAAATCCCATATTCTTCTTTTGCAACAACTGAAAACATACAAATTTATACAAAATATACTCAAGAAAAGCCAATTTTGAATATTTCACTGCGTTACATCAACATTATCTGATCAGTGGCTAATAATTCCATCTAGTAATTAAATTACAACTTTACTTTTCATTAATATCTACAAATACTGAATTTTGTTCATTCAACTTTAAACAAGGCATAAAAAAGAAAAGCAAATTCACTAACTTATGTCAAAATTACCTGATTATAAATAATTGAGTTTAATAAGTAAATTGCAAAATTAAGTTTCAGCCCTATATACAAATACTGATAAAAGTAACTAAACTTTTGTGAAGACTGCAAAAAACGAATTAGGAATAAGTCAGTCCATGGCATGTAATCAGATATTTGCAATCTTGTTTGTTAAAGTATTAAGCTTTTCAACTTTGTACTATGACTTATATAATTCATCGATTAAAAAAAATATATGTATTAATACTAGCTTACATTTGACACATATGAATGTGAGATTTTTTAATAGTTTTCATATGAAAGGGATATTTTTAATAGTTTTTTATGTTAAATGGTTTAAGTACTTAACTTTGAAAAGCAACGTTTGGCGTTGGGGTGATTCTAGAACATCAGGACAGCCAGAATTTATTCGACAATCACTCCAATATCCTAAATTAGTCAAAAATGAATAGGGATATTTGTAATTTATTCTTATCCTATTAATTTTAATTAAATTAACTGATATATTATTGTTAGTTGTATAAAACAAAATAGAAAATTCAAACCAAAAACAAATAAATATTATTTCTCATTTGTAATAACAGATTTATTTAAGAATAGAAAACATGAAGTTTACTCATTTTGTAAACAAATATTTTTTCTGATCTTTTCTCTATTTCAATTCAGTTTTCTCTTTAACCATGGGCAGACATCATTTTGAACCAGATGAACCAGAAGTTCGCAATATTATTGTGAGAATGAGTCATAGAAGTCACCAGCAAGTGGATATCGCAGAGGCAGTTGGTTTCTCAATGCGAGGTCATTGGCTTTAGCCCGATTCCGAGAGACTGTAAGTGCCAACAGGAGGCCTGGTAGTGTATCTCAGCGCAATACGATGCTAAGGGAGGACAGAAGTATTGTCATTGATGCAAGACGCCCTTTCCATAGTGCCACCAGATCCTAAATGAAGGACAAGACGTTTTGGCAATCAACCCAAACTATTCGTAATCATTTTTGAGAAGTTAGCCTCACACCGTATGCCCCTTTGAGACGACCTGCAGCAACAACCTCACAAGCAACTCAGGAGAATATGGTGCAGTGAGCATCTAGAAGAGAACATGAATTGGAATGCTGTTATGTACTCTGATGAGTTAACACCCCAGTTCATGCTCCCTTCAATGCAGTTTGGACTATGCGGTGAAATGGTCCGGGCTGGGATTTACACTGGAGGACTAAGTAAACTCCATATTGTTAAAGGTAACCTCAACATAGTCTATTAAGCCCAAGAAATTATCAAGGAATATGTCTTTCAAACCAGATCTCATTGCCAAGGATTTTCAATTTCTAGATGGCAATGCCAGACCTCATAGAGGCAGAGTTGTTCATGAATGTTTGGAAAGTCTGAGATTTCCCATTTACCCCTTCCTCCATTGTCCTCATACCTCAATCCCATTGAGCACATATCGAATGCGTTGAATCGAGAAGGCTTTTCAATCACCATCCGCAGCCAATTGACCAGCAACAAATGAGTGTAGCATTGCAACATCTATGGAGTGAAACTCCTTATAAAATTAGTGAACCTTATTAACAGTATGATTAACAGGTGCACAGAAGTGTTAGCTAACAGAGGACATTACACACGATATTACTTGTTTAAAAAAATTATTGTGTCCAATGTGTGGTGATTAGTGACAGTTAGTCGATGATTATTCGAAAATCGTGAGATGCGGTTTGGTGTGATGTTGCTGTTGGTGAGATGGTGTCATTCTTGTGTGTCGTGTGGCACTCTCAACACGACATGCAACAATGGCACAATTACGCAGAAAACAAACACTTTGAGCCCTGAAGATGACCTCAATAAAGATTGAAACGTTGGCACGATAAAGAAAAGGTTTTTCTGAAACCTACATCGCACCAGACCGCATCTCACGATTTTCGAATAATTGTGACCAATAAACAAGATTATGGAATTAAAACCTTTTATTTTGTTATTTTTTAAAATCACAATTAAATTTTTCTTCAGTAAAAACATAATTTCTGATCAATTTTAATGCAATTTATAATAAAAATAAAAAAAAAACTTTAAAATTGGCAATATCTCTATTCATTTTTCAGCTGTTGTGTCAACCTGTTGATCCATAACTAGGGCTTTGGCTCGTAGACTTAAAAAGAAGTTTGTTGTTGAAAGACCAAGTTACCAGTTAAGGTATTTTGTAAGGATTTGGTTAAGGACAGACAGTTTTAAAATCAGAGATTCAAAGAATATAAAAATTGTTTATTCACACGAGATTCTAGTGGTTTGCCTTTTTTTAAGAGACAGCTACGTAGAGCTATTTCCTTAAATATTAGTCTAGTGTACAAGTGGTTAGATAAAAAAAATGAGTTAAATAGTACGAAATAGGCTGAAAAATCGATCAACACTCACCTCTCAACGCGATACTGGACAACATTAATCCGAAGGCCGCAAACGGGTGGGGATCTATCAGATAAAGCTAATTAAAGCTATGTCAATGTCAAGATTCGAGTTTTGACTTTTGTCAAAAGTCAAATTGATTCATAAATGAAGTTCACGAGGTTACATTTCGGTTTCAAAACATGGAACCACACGTTCACCACCTAGATCAATAAATAGGATAATGTCCGTTTCATGTTCAATAGATGATAAATTGGTGGATAATTTTTGGATTTGCTGCTTCGAGAATTTTTGCTGGATTTCCAGCTATTTTAACTCCAAAAAGAATGTTTTTTAATTTTGTTGATTTTTTGACTTGGTGGAGGACAAATGTGTGGACCCCCTTCCCCGAAACGGGTAAGGGTAGCGAGGGAAAAAAGGGGCGCCGTCCTTTCCCCCACTCCTCTGCCGGCCGACGAGCTGATAACGTGAGCGCAAGCGGACCCGCGACCGTTCCAAAATCCGTGCCCCGGTCAAAAACCGCCCCCGCCGGCGAAAACCGGGCTTAAAACGCCGCCCCCGGGCGAAAGCGGATTTCCAGAGGGAAGCGAAGACGCCGCCACCCCCCCCTCGACGGCACACACTCCGCTAAGATGGTTGCCATGGCCGAGAACCCGTCCGAGTCGTGACCGACGACCGACGTTTAACAATTGGCAGAGCGATTGACCGAAAGCCGCTTCGACGCACGCCGTGACTCGATCCGCTGACGCATTTCGACGCTGGGACCGTTTTCGCCTCCGAGCCAGCACAGATTCGCCGCGTCTACCGCCCCGTTTCCTCCGAGTGGGCCAGGTATGAGCAGGAGGGCTTTACGACGGGGCGCCCCTCGAAAATGCTTCTTCACCCAGTGAACGCGTTCTTCGGCGAGTCTTCGAACCGGCCCCCGCACGCGGAACAACGCCGCCCGCTCAGATAGCAGCTCTTTTCCGTCCCGTCCAACGGCATGTCGAGAGGTTAGTTCAGGCTATGTTTTGTTGATATTTCGCCCCCCAACTCATCACCGAACGCTTTTCACTATCCGCTACAACCAACAAAATCAGCCCTTTTTAACTAATAATTAGCGATTTTATTAATACAAAGCCATATTTACCATCTTGCACATGATAATTATTATTCATCAACACCATTTATCGATGAACAATTCAATCCAGCTTTCGACTAATCCATTCTTTTTTTCTGAATTATTATACTTTGGATGTAGCTTAATGTTACAGATATCAACATTTATATTTAACCAAACAATTACTTTCTTACAGTACAGTTTAAAAAGTCAATATTTTTACCATTTTATATGATAATTAATATTTGATAAACAATTACACAATTTACAAAATTGTCTGTTTCTTGTTAAATAATCCTGTTTGAACATTCTTCATCAGTTTGCTTTGGATGTAGGTAGATCTTGTCCAAAATGAAAACACACTACACAATCCGCCGTTCAATGCATTTTTGGTTCTTGATCGACATGTGTTTTGAAAGTGGCCGGATCCTGGCCAAAATCAAAATGCATTACAACAGTGCAAATTCTATTTTATAAATATCTGATAAATAGTATTTTATTAATACAAAGCCGTATTTACCATCTTGTATATAATATTGTAATTATTATTTATCAACACTCTTTATCGATTAACAATTCAATCCAGCATTCGACTTAGCCATCGCTTTTTTTCTGAATTACTATACTTTGAATGTAGTTTAATGTTACAGATGTCAACATTTATATTTAAACAAACAATTACTTTTGTATAGCACAGTTTAAAAAACAATATTTTTTATTTCTACCATATTATGACTACTTTTTTTTTGTTTTTTGATCGATATGCTTTGGAAGTAGATGGATCCTGTCTAAATTGAAAACATACTAACAATGCAAATACTTCAAGCTCCTGTGCCATAAATTTATATTAATAAAAAATTAATTGCAATTAATTTGTAATTGACATTTATCATATTTTATGATAATTGTTATTTTATTAACATACGTAAATCCTTTAAATGCTGTATTTTTTTATGTACACAATTTTGGTGTCTTTCTTGATCAATACGCTTTGAAAGTGGCCAGGTCCTGTTCAAACACAAAGCACACTATTGCTCTATTTTGAAAATATCCACATTTATTTTTATAAAAACTTAGTTTCACATCGTTTGTCTTAAAAATACCATATAATTGACATTTAGCATATTATATTTGATAATTGCTATTTTATAAATCGTGGGTCGTATAAATCCTATTCAAAATCGGAACATAACGTGTCGCTTAATGGGTGGTGATTAGTGACCGTTAATCGATAATTATTCAGAAATTGTGAGATGCGGTCTGGTGTGATGTAGTACTACACCAGACCGCATCTCACGATTTCTGAATATGCTTAAGTTACAGATATCAACATTTACATTTAACAAAATGCCTACTTTCCTACACTACAGTTTAAAAAGACAATTTTTTTTTTTACCATACTATGTGATGGGTACGAGTCTACCCAGGCATTTAACCCCTCGGGTCTTGGTCGCCCACCATGCACAATATAATATATATACCATGTTATGTGATAATTAATATTTTATAAACAATTATACATCTTATAAATTATCTATCTCTTGTTAAACAATCCTCTTTTAACTTTTTTTTGTTTCCTGATCGGTATGCTTTGGAAGTAAGTAGATCCTGTCCAAAATGAAAACACTACACAATGCTTCTGCTTTGTAAATATCCTCATTTATACTGGTAAAAAATTAATTTCGTTCATTTGTTTTAAAAATAATATATTTCATTTCGTATTGTCTGATTATGGATTATTTGGAAGTAAGTAGATCCTGTCCAAAATGAAAACACTACACAATGCCTCTGCCTTGTAAATATCCTCATTTATACTGGTAAAAAATTAATTTTGTTCGTTTGTTTTAAAAATAATATATTTTGTTTCGTATTGTCTGATTATGTAATTGTCATTTATCGTATTACTTTATGATAATTGTTATTTTATTAACATCCTATAAATAATCTAGTTTTTAACATATAATCTATCGTTCAATGCATTTTAGTTTTCTTCGTTGATCGGTATGCTTTGCAAGTGGCCAGATCCTATTCAAACTCAAAACTCACTAAAACCATGCAAATTCTGTAAACTCAAACATCATATCATATTGCTTTATGATAATTGTTATTTTATTAACATATGTACATGCTACAAATCCTTGCCAACATCAAAATGTACTACAACAATGCGAATTCTGAATGCTCTATTTTATAAATATCCACATTTATAATTGTTAAAAAAAATATAATTTTGCATTGTTTGGTTTGAAAGTACAATATAATCAGTTTTTACTATAATAATTATTTTATTAACAATCATACAACATATACATTCTTTGATATACAACTGTCGATCGTCACACTTTTGGTTTCTGTCTTGTTTGCAATGCTCTGGAAGTGGCCAGATCGTATTGAAATCAAAATTTACTGCTAATACCATAAATTCTGTTGTGTAAATTTCACATTTATATTAATAAAAAATTTGTTTTGCATCATTTGGCTTAAATAACAACAAAAATAAATAATAAAAGTACCATATAAGTAACATTTAGCATATTATGTCATAATAAATTGTGTGATCGTAGCATATGTACATCCTATAAATAATCCGCTATTCAATGCATTTTTGGTTTCTTGCTTGGTCGGCATACAAATATGTTTGGAAGTGGCTAGATCGTGTCAAAATCAAAACAAACTAATACAACGCAAAACTATAAATTTTGTCATGTAAATATTCACACCTTTTATAAAAATAAAAAATTAGTTTTGCGTCAAATACCATACATTTTTTTATATATACCCTTGTTTACTAATCATTCTCGATTTTATTAATATAAAGCCATATTTTATTTTTATTATTTTATTTATTTATTTTTTAAATTAATTACTAAGCTTTGGATTTAGTGATAATGTACACTTTAAAAAGACAATTTTTTTTATTTCTACCATGTTATGTGATAATTAATATTTTATAAACAATTATACATCTTTTTTTGGTTTCCTGATCAATATGCTTTGGAAGTAGATGATCTTGTCCAAAATGAAAGCATACAACAAAATGCGAATACTTCAAGCTCCAGTCTTGTAAATATCCTCATTTATTCCCCCTTTTTTGTGTTGGTAGAGCAGTGGCGGATCTAGCCGAAGATTGTGGGTTCGAATCCCGCTTGTGAGACACTGACTTTTTTTATCTTGACCAATACCTTTCATAATTATTAATTAATTGAAAAATCCTGATTTGTATTGATAAATAATTAGTTTTGTATGGTTTGTTTTAAAATTACAATATAATTGACATTCAGCATATTACATTATGCCAATTGTTATTTTATAAACAATCATACATCTGAATCGTATCCAAAATTAAAACGCATTACAACAATGTAAATGCTGTATGCTCCACTTTAGAGATATCCATATTTATATTTATAAAAAATAATTTTGCATCATTTGGTTTATCATTTAGCATAATAGTCGTTATTTTATTAACAATCATACAGCCTATAAATTATTTGATATATAATCTATTGTTCGACACACTTGGTTTCTGTCCTCTTCGCAATGCTCTGGAAGTGGCCAGATCCTGTCAAAATCAAAACGCACTGCAAACTGCAAATACTTTAAATTCTGTCGTAAATATTCACATTTATATTAATATAAAATTAGTTTCGCATCATTTGGTTTGAAAATATATAAATATATAATTGAAATTTAACATATTGAAATATGATACTTGTTATTATATTAACAATCATACATTTTTATCAAATTCACAATCAAAACGCACTACTACAATGTAAATTCTGTAAACTCTATCCTATAAATATTCATATTAATGAAATGATTAATTTCACATCGTTTGTTTTAAAAATACAATGTAATTGACATTTAGCATATTATGTTATAATTGTCATTTTGTACATCATTTATTCTCTATTTTTTATTCAATGTAGTTTTGGATTTTTTTTGATCAGTATGCTTGCAAAGTGGCTGGTTCCTGACCAAAATCAAAACCCACTACAACAATGCAAATTTTGTTTGCTCTATTTTTTAATATCCACATTTACATTTATAAAAAATTTGTTTCACATTGTTTGATTTAAAAATATCATATAATTGACATTTAGCATATTATTTTTGATAATTATTGTTTTATTAACAATTGTACATCTGATAAATCCTCTGTTGTTCATTCATATACTATCCATCGTTCGTAGTCTTTTTTTGTTTTCTTTCTTGATGGGTATGCTTTGCAAGTGGCCGAATTCTTTTCAAAATTAAAAAACATCAGAATAAAGCTCATTTTGTAGCTGTATGTTTTAACTATAAACTTGTACTATTAAATGTGTATTCTAATTAACAGTACTATTATATTTTCAAAGTTTTCTCTCTTGATCAGGATACTTGGGACCTATTTGGGGTTTGTCTAAAATGAAAATGTTTATGCTGTAGCATAATGTTACAGATATTAAAAATACAGTTATAAATACAATATTTACAGTTTTAAAAACGTTAGTTTTAAATGCAAATTTTGAGTTTTCTCTCTTGATTGGGATGCATTGCTAGCTTTTAGGGCTTGTCAAGAGTTGTGTTGGCCAAAGCATTGCTTATGAAGATTTAGATTTTTTTTAAATGCACTTCTACAATGTCTATTGACTCCAGTTACCATCAGCAAGTAGTTGGGAACACCCTAAATCAAAATGTTTAATAAATAAAATATTAATTTGTTGATTAAAGTTAAAATACATTAATGATAAATAATAATGTTTTAGTCTATAATTTTGAAAATTTAAATTTAAATTTTATAAAGCTGTTGTTTTTACTTTACCAAGGATCTAGACCTTAAGCCTTTTCTGTTTCTCTTTATTAGGACGCTCTGGAAAAATTTAGGAACTTGTCAGTGTAAAAAAAAAACTACTTTGCTGTTTAAAATTTGTCAGGGTTTTATATCACAATTTACTTAAAATTTTACTTTAGCTTTACCTTAGCCGTTTCTGTTTCTCTTTATTAGGACGGGAAAAGTTAGGAACTTGGTAGGGCAAAAAAAACAAAAAAAAAACTGCTTTGATGTTTAAAATTTTTCAGGGTTTTATATCACAATTTACTCAAAATTTTATTTTCGCTCGTTCAACCAATATTCTAACAATTTTAATTTACCTTTGAGACATTTTTGTTTTGTTCCTGTATTTTTTCCGTTGTAACAAGATAATTGTGAATGTTTTCTGTTGTTATATATACAGGCTAATATTTGTTTAATTTGTTGCAGATTAGATCATCAGGGATAATATATAAAGCTAAAATGGAAGAGCCACCTCAGGGGATGGATGTTGACTTGGATGTAAAAACCGCAGAGTCCACTCCTCAAAAACGGACGATTGTCCTGGGTGTAGTGAACACCTCTGGGATGAAGAGTTCTAACGCCAGCAGGAAAAGACGGTGGGATCAAGCGCCTGATGAAATTGACCCTTCTCCTGCATCTAAAATGGCGTGTGTTGCCGGTCTTGACGAAGAGACTTCTCAAGTGCCGACAGTGACTGTAAATTCCGTGTGTGACAGTGACTCTAATGAGATTGTCACCGTTGGCAAAGATACAGAAGTGAGTGAAGTGGATGTGCACCAACCTGTAGTTACAAATGAAGAAAATAATGACAAAATAGACCCTAAAACAAAATTCTCTCAAGGGACTGTTGAAAAGAGTTTCATATCGGACTCGCTGAAGAGGATTCAGTTCAGCTATGATGAAGGGGACTCGAACAGTTCTGATGGTTCAAATGAAAACAGTTCACCTCAAGATAATAACGATTTGGTACCAATTAATGATTCAAAGACTGAACACGCTCCCAGCTTAAAACTAACCATAACAGAGGGAAAATTAAATTTAGATTTAAAAGGGCAAAAAAGTCCAGTTTCTACAGATGTTGTGGACAAAGCTTTGGATGTAGTTTTAGATGAAGTGATTTGTGATAATTTAGAAAATAAGGTAGATGAGAAAGGTGTAAATAATTCAAAAGCTTTAACAAATGATTCTGCCTTAAGGAGTGTTGCAGACACTGAAATTAATCATGTCACAAATGATTCTGATCAAGAGAGATCGAAAGAAACTCTAAACTTGTCTAAACAAAATGTAGATAGTTCAGCTGAAAATGCTGAAAAATTAAAAGAAACGCCAAAATTGGATAAACAAAATCTTGATAATTTGGCTGAAAACGTCGACAAATCTGTAGTCACTCAAGGAGAGACAGAAACACAGATTAACACAAACAGCATCGATCCAGCAGTAATGGAAGTGATTTTTGGTTCGAAAGACAAACAGATAATTATGGAGAGCGAGGATGTGTCTGAAAATGATGATAAAAAATCGGAATATAAGCCTATGGATGAAGAATATGAAAATGATTCCACAGAAATTGTGACAATCGATCCCACAGAGCCCCTCTCTGAAGACCTGTCAGAGGAAGTAGCTAAACCTTCAGACACCCTGCCATCCACCGAACAAAATACTTTGGAAAAAAGTATAGCTGACAAAGTAAACACAGAAGAAAATTTAATTGAAAAAACTGCTGATGAAGAAATGAAACATGATGATTTGGCTACTACAAACAATGAAAAATCACTTTTAAACTCACCACCAACAGCCGTTTCTGAAATAGATACTTATGCAGAAAGTATAGATCAAGAATATATTGTAGAGGATAAATTATCGGAGGAAACAAAGGAGAAAGAGGAAGAAAACTTAAATGCAGATTCTAAAGTGTCCATGATAGAAGTGATTGAAGAAGAAAAAACAGTTGATACAAACTATGAAGTTGAGGAGACGGAACTGAAAGTTCATGAAACTGAACTGTCAAAACAAGCCCTAGAAGAAGAAGAAAAACCTCATCAAGATGTGCAAGAATTAACGAAAGAAGAAATTGAAAACAACAAACAAGAAGAACCTAAGGTCATTCGAGAAGAAAGTCCTTCAGGTTTATTAATAAATGACATGGAAGTTGAAGAAGTATTTGAATCCCCAGACGAAAATGAAGAAAACAAAGAAAAAATTGAAACAGTGAAATCTACAGCTATTTGTGTACAAGAAGAAAGTAAGAGTTATGCACCTGTTCTTGAAGAAAATGAGGAAGAACTACTAGAAGAAAATTTAGATGACAGCGCAGACGTCATCAAAGCCGAAATTACAGAAACTAATGAGGATAATATGATTCACACAAAAGATCCAGTTGTAGAAACATCAGTGATTACGGAAGAACAAGAAGAAGAAAACATTGTCAAAGAAACTGAAGACGTTCAAGAGAAAGAGTATGACATACTTAAAAAGAAAGATAAAATTGAAAGTGAAAACTCTTTGACTGAACTTGAAGTAGAGAAAATGAAAAAGCCTGAAGAAATTGAAAAACAAGAAATCAAAAATAAATCTAGCGATGTTCAGTTGACTTTAGAGAATACAATTCTAGAGTCAGAACAGATCAAACAAGAAAATATTCTAGAAGAGGAAAAGGAAGAAGGTGATGTGCAAGGAAAAACAGTGCCAGAAGTACAAGAACAAGAAATATATGAAGAAAAAGAAACACTTGTGCAAGAACAAGAACAATTAAAATCTGAAACTGAAATAACGTTAAAAGATGACAATTTGAGTAGCGAAGAGAAAAATTCAGAAGTTGAAAAAATAACAAGTAAAGAAGAACTTGCTCAAGAACAAACTATAACACCTGTTAACGAACATTCTTCCAACTCTACCAATATTAATGAAGCAAAAAGTGCCAGTCTTGATAGAAGTAATGTAATCAATGAACCTGCCTTGCTTAGTGTCGCACCTCTTGGAATGAATACAAATTTAAATACCAAAGAAAATGAAGCACCACAACAGCCAGTTCAAATTAAAACAGAAACCCTAGACAAAATCGAGAAAATGGATGTATCGGAGGTCTCAGATGTTCAGAACACCGATAAACGAATGGATGGAGATGAAGTAAAAATTGAAGCGCCTCCTTTCAGGGTCAAAACTGATGAAGTTCCAATGGAAGTCAGTGATGAAGACGAACATGGAATGGATAAGGAATTCGTTCCACTGTTAAAAACAGTTTCATCTCGAAATTCTGCTCCCAGGGGTAGAAAAATTTCAATGCCGGATAGGTCGGTTCAAAGACCAATTGGTACGTTACCCCCTATGACAATAAAAATAGATGATATTGGTAAATCTCCTCTTGTTGTCGATTGCAAAAGCCCTCCTATACAAAAATTGTCAAGATCTAGCATCTCTCCTCAAACAAAGCAGTTGGAATTTACGCTCAAGATTGCCAAGGATGCAAATACAAACATTCCAAAAGCTACAATGTCGCCAAAAAGCGGTATGACTACGTCGCCAAATTCTGTTTGGAAATTGGAAAACCAATTGACAGAATCGCCTAAGATGGAAAGAAAATTGGCCGATATTGCAGAAGCTAAAAAAGAACCTCCTTCAGAAAACAGGTTTCAAGATTTGATCAAGCAAATGCTCGAGACTAAACCAGAACCTATCTCAATTCCTGAAGTTCCTCCAGTCAAGGTGCCTAAGAAGCGTGGGCGTCCAAGGAAAGTCATCCCACCGCCTAGTGAAACCCCCCCTTCTGGAGATCTCGCTGGTACATTTTCAACACCCGAAGATCCAGATGAAAGCAACAGACCTATGCGGTCTTGCAGGGATCGAACAAAGCCGACTTTTGTTCGAACAAGAAAACCTAGAGGAGGGGGCATGATTCGTGGTGGTGGTATGTATATTATTTTTTCAAATTATAGTTTTTAATTTCTTTCTGATCATTATGGTCTGCCTATCTTTATGATGTTAATCTGTCAGGACAGAATAATTGTAGATGACTTAACTGCGGGTTAATCACCCACAACCAGATCATAATAATTTATTAGCCGTGATATCAATAATAATTAATGTAAGAAATTTCTTTGTAATCTGCAAGGTGAAGAACCGCTGTGTTGTCTGTCAGTCCAGAATAATTGGAAATGTTTAAATCGATGTTTAAACCAATTCTTTGAATTCTTGGTTAATAAGTTTTTTTTTAAACAAAGGTCGCCGTGGAAGAGGAGGTGGGTTGAAAAAAAATCTGCCAACAGATAGAGAAAGTCTTTCCGAGCATGAGAAGGCAGAATTAGCTAAAATCGAAGCTAGGAAGGAGAAGATTAGGATGGACCAGATAGCAAAGTATAAGGCGAAGAAGGAGAAGAAACTTGCCAAAAAGGTTTTTTTGTGCATTTATTTCTTTTTGGACTTGGACTGACTGGGTTTAATTTCCAGTTGAAGGATGAAGAAAGGCGCAAAAGGATTGCGAGGGAGAAAGCTGAAAAGGCCGAGGCTGCTGCTCCACAGGTTTTTGAGGAGGAGACTCGCATGTCTGCTCCTGAAACTGGAGGAAGTCGAGGCCACACTCCGGCTCCACATAGAATGACTCTTGGAGGTAATGCTATCAATAATTTATTTTTATGTAAACACTTCTGAATTTTGGATTTCAGGAGAACCAGGTGATGAATCTCAAAGCAGTCTGTTCAGCACACCATTGAGTTCAGTGAATAAGAAAGGAAGAATGGAAATTCCTATTGACTATGAACAGTAAGTGAAATGTAAACAAGGCAGGTGAAACTGAAAATAATGAAATCATGTTTTTTTTTTTACCTTGTCAGTTTTAGCAAAGAAGTTACAGTTAACCAGCTAGCAGAGTACCAGTGGCAGGGAAGTGAGCTTTACATGATACAGGAGCAAGTATCGCTCTATTTAGGCGTAAAATCGTTCAAAAGGAAATACCCGGACATGAAAAGAAGACCAGTCGAAGCCGAGGAAAGGACATATCTCGAAGATTCTGGGTTAGTGCCCAAATCGATGTGTGACCTTGGTGAGTTGTGGCATTTTGAAACTACAAACTTTAAAATTGAGAGTTTTGACAATCTTTACTTTCTCCTTAAGGTTTGACTGCAGTCAGTAGTGCAGAAGTCTTGGATGTAATGTTTCAAGATTTCCCAGACAAATACGAGGAGTTTAGAAAGTATGTCAGGGAAAAACAGGCGAGAGAGGCATCATCAAAACAAAGAGGTGAATTTTTATTTAATAGTGAAGCTAAATAAAAAATGAATAAAAGTGGATATAATTGAGTGAAAACATAAAATTTCACATTATTTTAGCACTTGCAATGGCGAGGAGAGATGGCTCGAAAATTGAACCGCGGGAGCAGGCTTTGGAAGCTGTGGCCAATTGGAATGCAAACCTGAACCGGGAGCGCAATGAGGAGAGGAAGTGCGCCCTCGACCTTCAGACATTCACAGTGCACTATCCCCAGAAAGAGCGCGAAAACATGACTAGGCCAGTCAAAAAAGTAGGCCTCTACCCACTTGCGGTCATACCTGGGCAATATTGCGATTATTATAAAGAGTAAGCAGTTCGTTTATTTTTTGTCTTCCTCGCATTGTATTTGAGTTGTTAAGATTATAATACTTTACAGGTATACACCTACTGAATTGATGTATTTCCCTCTAAATACCGTACTCTATGGTCCGTTGAAGCCAAATGAGAAGCAGTCTGAGGACAATTCAGAGACTGGCTCTGACAGCGATGATTCTTCTTCTTCAGATGATACCAGGTTTGTTGATTTCAGTAAAGTAATATTATTCCTATTAAGTACATACATTTTCTCACAAAGTGGTAAATTAAGCATGAGTGTGATGGTTTATTGAAAAGTTGACTCCCTCATATCACAATTAATAATTGATATTTGTATCTACATACATAAAGCATGTATGTGCTGATGTAAACATTGGCAATGGACAAAGGCTGCAATAAATTAGTCTGAATGACAGGATCGGCAGGCAGTGTGTTTGTCGCCAATAATGGTCAATAACCTAGAGATAGAATCGCAAAACGAAACGTTGGCGTCGGCAATGGACGAAGGCTGCAATCGCTTAGTCTGAATGATGGTATTTGCTGGTATTGTGCTTATAGCCAATATAGCGCTACAATCTGGCGGTGGAGTCGCAAAGTGAAACGTTGGCGTTGGCAATGTATGAAGGCTGCAGTCGCTTAGTTTGAATCACGGGATTTGCTAGAATTGTTCATGTTGCAGATATAGCGCTATAATCTGGCGGTGGAGTCGCCAAGTGAAACGTTGGCGTTGGCAATGGACGAAGGCTGCAATCGCTTCGTCTGAATGACAGGATTTGCTAGAATTGTGCTTGTTGCGATAAAGCGCTACAATCTTGTGATGGAGTCAAAATGTGAAACGGCGTCAGCAATGGACGAAGCCTGCAATCGGTTAGTCTGAATTACGGGATTTGCTAGAATTGTGGTTGTTGCTGATATAGCGCTACAATCCGGTGATGGAGCCACAAAGTGAAACGTTGGTGTCGGCAATGGACGAAGGCTGCAATCGCTTAGTCTGAATGACAGGATTTGCGTGCATTGTGCTTGTTGCTGATATAGCGCTCCATTCTGGTGTTAGTATTTTAGTGTAGTATTTAATTATTAATTGTACTTAATGTTCTTCCAACTAATCCGAGGGCCGATATGGTACTCAATATTTCACCATCTGACACTAAATTTTATTCTAAGAGATTGAATAATCTCAATATATGCGAAAGTAAACAAAATGAGATATATACTAAAAACCAGTTGCAAAACAATCCTGTTTTCTTCAAATATCGGATCAGGATCCGAAGATTGACTGGCATGCTCAAGCACAATTCAATCTGGAGGCATTCCTACACGACATCAAGCCAATGGTGTTTTGCATGAAGAGATGCTTCCGATTCTTTGGAGGATCAAAGATTTATAACCCAGGTTTCTCTGGATACCCATAGCTCCTCTGTTAACCTGAGAGAGACTTGTTGTTCCCAACTGAATATGCTAAAGAAGAGGACGTACTTGTCCTGCTCTCAGATGAGGAATTGGATCTCCAGTGGTCGCGGGAACACATTGGCCACCACTGGCAATGAAGCAGCTAATCATTATATTTCTTTCTCCTACATGAGGGCAGGAAAAATACTAGAGTTATCAGTGTACGCCACAGTTAAATAATAATAACAATAAATTAATAAAATGTAAAGCGCATAGAATCCTGACTCATTCTTGTATTGTGATTAACTAATGTTATATTATGTCTGATTTAATAAAAAAATTTGCTTTCATGGGTATCTTAAGTGTTTTCTGTTGTTTTGTATTTGTAAATATTGTAAAGTTACAGATAAAGAAACATTTGTTGTCACCAGTTTAATATGTTTAAGCATCAATTATTATTATTTTTATTTATTTTTTATTTTTTAAGCGACAGTTCAAGTGAAAGTGATAGTTCTGACGAAGATGAAGATATCAAGTGTAAATTATGTAACGGGACTAAAAAAAACAACAAGAACTCACAAAGCGAGTCTTTAATACAGTGTGCGAATTGTAAAAAACATGGTAAGGTTTTTATAAATTCGATTTATTTAAAATAATTTTCTTATAAGTTGCGCAATTTTGATGTTTTGTCCGTTATCGTTTTGTAGTACATCCCACGTGTCTGGATATAACACCAGAGATGCTTCCTCACATTGAGAAGTATCAATGGGTTTGCCCGCAGTGCAAGAAGTGCGTGAGTTGCAAGGAATCGGTGAATCCTGAAAAACTGATGTCATGCGATCTCTGCAACAGAGGGTTGGTTTTTATTATTCAAGTGTACCTTTACCAATTAGATTTTATTGTATATTTAACTTTAGGTATCATGTTTATTGTGTTGGCTTGAGGAAAATACCAGAAGGGCGATGGCATTGCACTATATGCTCCTACTGCACATCTTGCAACACCAGGGATCCTGGAGGGTCAGATTGGCAGCACGAGGTATGTTTAAAAAAAAACATCACGGGGAAAAAATTGAATAACTAATTAAAAAATTGTAGTTTAAGAAGAGTGAAAAAGGAGCAAAGATCTACCAGAGGACGCTCTGTACCCCTTGTTTCAAGTAAGTAGTAACATTGAATAGTTTCTCACACTGTCAACACTTGTCCTTGATTTCATTTTAATGCATTTGCGCTTTACACGTTAACTAACATTGCATGCATTTAGACTCTGGCGGAAGGGCAAATATTGCCAGATTTGCTTCAAGTGTTATGGATGGAAGCCTGAAGAGGATTCAGGCCTGCGCCAGTGCAACACTTGTGAAAGGTGGATTCACAAAGGTGAGGGGCTTAATGCTTTTGATATAACATTAGCACACAATCATAAAAAGTGTTCGGTTCAGCTTTTTCACATTTTTAACACATCAACTGCTTGAAGATTTGTGTCTTATCAGGATGGCAAGATTCAGTTTTAACCATCTCTTGATAGAATATAACCTTTAACATTTAATTAATAAAATTTTATGGTTTAATTGGAGTACAAATTATTAAATTTTTGTGGAGTTAGTAATATTCTAAATAGGGAAGCATGGTGGTAAAGATCATTTGTTTTCTCAGTCTTTCATTTGTCAACTCACTAGCACATCCATTGCTTGCTCCTTATTCAAACTATATTTTGCCCTTTTAGTCTTTAAGGTTTAAATATTTTTTAATGCATAAAAAAATTGACCAATATTTTCAAAAATACACATAATGATTATAAAAAAAAATATATATATATGCATGTAAAAATAAAATTTTTCTTTACATGCATATACAATACTCTAAAACAAAATTAAACTTTTGATATAACGTGTGGTGATTAGTGACCGTGTCTATGATTATTTGGAAATCGTGAGACGCGGTCTGGTGTGATGTAGATTTCAGAAAAACATTTTCTTTATTGTGCCAACGTTTCGATCTTTATTGAGATCATCTTCAGGGCCTAGGATTTATACACATTGTTTGCATTTTACAGATACATGTAGGATGTGGAAAAAAATTATCAATTTATACAATGCTAGAAAATTTTAGATTAAAAAAATGAATTTATACAATGCTAGAAAATTTTAGATAAAAAATTGAATTTATACAATGCCAGAAAATTTTAGATTAAAAAAATTAATTTATACAATGCTAGAAAATTTTATATAAAAAATTAAATTTATAAAATGCTAGCATTTTACAAATACATAGAATGTGGAAAAAAATATGAGTTTATACAATGCTAGAAAATTTTAGATTAAAAAATGAATTTATACAATACTAGAAAATTTTAGATTAAAAAAATGAATTTATACAGTGCTAGAAAATTTTAGATAAAAAGATTAATTTATAAAATACTAAAAAATTAAATGTATACAATGCTAGCATTTTACAAATACATGAAGGATGTGGAAAAAAATATGAATTATACAATGCTAGAAAATTTTAGATTAAAAAAATGAATTTATACACTAGAAAATTTTCAATAAAAAAAATTGAATTTATACAATGCTAGAAAATTTTCGATAAAAATTGAATTTCTGTCATCTAAAATTTTCTAGCATTGTACAAATTCATTTTTTTTAATGTACAATTTTCTAGCATTGTATAAATTCATTTTTTTAATCTAATATTTTCTAGCATTGTATAAATTCATAATTTTTTTCCACATCCTACATGTATTTGTAAAATTCAAACAATGTTTATAAATCCCAATAATAAATGGCACAATTACGCAGAAAACAAACACTTTGAGTGAGTAGAAATACTTTGAGTGAATATAAAATTTTTTTTTGCATTGTATAAATTCATTTTTTTCCACATTCCTATTGGTTAAATTTAAATAATGTTTGTAAATCCCAGGCCCTGAAGATGATTTCAATCGAAACGTTGGCACGATAAAGAAAATGTTTTTCTGAAACCTACATCACACCAGACCGCATCTCACGATTTCCGAATAATCATTTTTGATATAACATATTTTTCATTTTACCCTTGATATAGTAAGCATGTCGATTTATCATATTTATCCTTCGGCCCCTTGAGGATAGGAAATATCGGGATTTAACTGTAATGTGCTTTGCCAAGAATTGCTGTGAAATAATTCATGCACCCGCTCAAATAACCAGAAACTGTTTTTTAAATATTAACGTCAGAAAAATTTGCTGTTTTATGAAACTGCACAAAATTATTCGTCTTTTCTTGATTTAACTTTGTATGCATCTTTATTTTCAGAATGTTTTAACATAAGGTTCGGAGTGCAAAATAAGACAAACACCGGATTCCAATGTGATATATGCCAAGAAAGGATTCAATCATCTCTTAGCAGCCATGGCATCCCGAGGCCACTCATTAAAGTTTAATCTTGTAAAAAAAATCAAGTAGGCACGTCTTTTTAGAAGTGTGCAATTTTGAAAGTCGATGAGTCAGCGTGTATATTGTTGTGTGTGGCACATGCACACTTAGGAAATTATATGTATATTTATGGTGGAAATTACTGACCACAAAGATTTTTTTTTTCTTTCTGTCTGTCTCTCTCTCTATTTCTTTCTTATTTATACTTATGATAAAATATAATTGATAGTTATGTTTTTATACTTAATATAAAAATAAAAAACATATTGTATATTATACAAATTTAATATATCTTGTACCAAATTATTCCATTAGATTGTATTGTTTCATGCCTGTATTTTTGAAATTCCTTTGACATCTCCATTTTTGTTCAATAGACCATTGTATTTATAATTCCTTAGATTGAGAACGTTATAATACTATTTTAAGCCAGCAGGCCTAGATTGTTTACCTTCTCTTTTCCAACTAAAATATTTATTTGCCTGTTGTATAAAGTTGTTCTGTTGTAACTTATATTGTATATGTATTAAAAAAAAAGAACAAAAGGAGAATTTTTGAAGAAGTTGTTAATTGTTTAACTTAACATTTTTATACTTTAGGGGTTCTCTTATCACATTTTAGTTTATTAAACAAAAGAACTAGGTTTGTAATATCAGAAAGTTAGAGAAAATCTAAAAATAAAAAATTGAAAAAAAGCTGTTATTTTTTTATAAAATAACAATCTTCAATACAGAATTACTGTATTTTAATATCTGAGGAAAAAAGGGACAGTTTATGTTGTAAAGAATTAAAATAAATAACGTCATAAAATTAATTTTTGCATAAGAGTTAAAACGACTCTAGTGGTAATTATGTTATTGAGTTCTAAAATAAGTCCATAGCATTTTTCAATCAATTGTTTTTATCCCTCTTGTGTTTTGAAGGAACTTTTTCTAAAAATTATTCGGAAATCGTCGGTAATCACCACACATTTTTCTAAAAAGTTAAGGTGTTTTTATTTGCGAGTTTCATTTGAGATTCACACTTTATTACCACAAAGGGAAAACTGATAAGAAAATTTAGGGATGGTTAGGTGGTAGTTTATATATGTGTGTGGTGATGACTTTAGGAGAAACAACTACCTGTAAGTGGTTTGCTCAGTTCAGAGGTGGAAATTTGGTAGCCCTCCAGGCAACTTCAAGCTGTTGTCACAAATAACCCCCACTCAATGACACGAGACATTGCAGGGACACTTAACATATCTCATAAAAGTATTTCGACATAACTGAGAGCAGCTGGACATGTTTATCCGAACAATATATGGTCTTTTAACATGCCGACTGAGAATTTACTGGACCACATTTCCATCTGATTCTGCTTATAAAAAGATTGATGTGGGATGAAAATTTGGCCCTATACATTTTACAGGAATATTCAAATAGGAAAATCCTGGAGAAGACAGCCCACTGTTTACAACTTCAAAAGCTGGATTGTACTAAAAAAACTAATCTGCATTTTACAGGATTGAAGGGATGCTTCATTATGAGCTTCCATCCAAACCGTTAATACTTAAATCTAGTGTGTATTGCACAATATTGGAGTGATTAAAACATAAAATGACCGGCATTGGTTAATCATAAAGAGATTGTTTGCCACCAGATAACATTAAGCCTCCATGAGTACTGCACACGCTAGAAACTGCTGGGACTCATTGTATTCGCCTATGTCCACTTATTCCATGCTCTTTAAATGGGTAAGCCTTTTCTCCATCTAAAACTGAGAAGTTCTGAGAGGACAGAATTACAAACTTGTGTAGTAAACAAAACGATTTCATTGATTAAATTTGCTTAAAAGTGCCTGAAATTGAATTTACCGTCAAAATAGCTACAGACTTATTTTACAACCTAATATAAGACAAAAATACAGGTACTACTTACAACAGATTAAAAGAAGACAAAAATAACAGTGGAAGTCAAATGCTCATTAGGATGGGACAAAAGAATGAAGAGCATCAATGTAATAGTGCATATACACTGCTCGTGAACTTCTTTTTTAATATTTATCCTACCTTCTATCCAGCCAAGGAAACACAATGAATAAACCACAACCACCAGCAATCTTCCTACTGAGCACACTAGTCGATAAGACTAGTCAATCGTTGGTTGACAAAAATTACAAAATTTTGGTTATAAGTAGTGCAGCTTTAGTGATGGTTTTGTGCAAGAAAAAAAATGCTATGATGGTGGCTCACTGACTCCACACCATAAATTTTTACAGAAAACAATATTAAATTAATTCCATTCACTAGTTTCGTAGTCCGCTTGACCAATTAATTAAGGTTTTTAGTTGAGATAAAAAAGTCAGTTTCACGAGCGGGTTTGGAACCCATGATCTTCGGCTAGATAAGCCACATTGAAAAATGGCAAAAAGGAGGGAAAATTCAAAAGGTGGGTTGAGATAGGAAGCTAGTGTCCGAGTGGATCGAGGTCACGAGAGCTCAAGTGGTAGAGCAGCGGCGTATCAAGCCAAAGATCGTGGGTTCGAATCCCGCTCGTGCCATTGACTTTTTTATCTCAACTAAAAACCTTAATTAATTGTAGATTAAATTAGTTTTAAATAATTTTTTAATTTAAAAATTAAATTATACACATAAGTAGGCGTAAAATATAAACAGTTTGCAAATAAGACAAAATGAACTGCACAAAAGCCGTCCCTGTATTTGAATTTATGTATATTTGAGTCGGTTTTTGTTTGTATGAAAACCAACAGTCAATGGATCGCTATAAGTTGGTGAATGGTTCGCCTGGGGCTCCAACCTCGTCTCATGATTGTAAACTTTGGCAAATATCTGAAGTGAACATAGTTTTAGAATTTCTTGTTAATTGGTTTTGAATATGTCGAAACAATGTAATAAATGTATATAAACGATAAATCAAAGGATAAACAACTGTATCTTACCTTTGTATTAATATTTTAACTCAATAAGCTAGAAATGAAGTAACTTAAGGTTTGAAAAAAAGACAAAAAAGAATAAACATTTTAAAATATAAAAATACATTTTAAGTCTTTTTGAACAAGCATGATTAATACATTACAGTGTTCAATATAAGTAATAATATGTTTCTAGGTGGTGCTGCTTCTTTTAATTGAGCGTATACTTTAGAATTATATACAGTTGATGCTTTTCAAGCTCATAGTTTTATTTTATTTTTAATTATTTCTTTTATTAATCTTAATCTAACATTAAAGCATCTTTGGCAGCAGAAATTCATTTGCTTTAAAACATGGCACATGAAATTTTTATCACTCGTTTTCAGAAAATCAAATTCCGATTTGGTAACGTGGATTTTTAAATATGATCGTTTGGAGATTTATAGTATCATTAGTTAGAAAATTGAAATAAGTTATACTTAAAGCCAAATTTAATAATACTTATGTTAAGTTGTCTTGTATGTGTAACGACTACACAAATCTGATGCTAAACTAAATGGTATATATTTTTTTCTACTTATCAACAGAAAGAAAATATAATAAACAATGGAATGAAAGCTTTATACAAATAGAAAAACCAAAGGTGTGAATTTTTACCAATTGGCATTTCAATAAGTAAGATTTTTTTAAAACTTATTTACAAATTAGTCATGTAACAACTTTCTATCACAGCAATAACCAAAGATTATCATTTATTTCATCATGAGAGAAAAATGAACCACCAGTTTCCGATTAGAATGCTGAATCAATTTGCATTTCACTGAGCACCACAGACATTTAAATGAGAGGATATGAGTTTGCGATTTTTTTTTTTTTTAAATACAACAGTGGTAAATGAAGGTGGTCATTTGCTGTTTAATAATGTTTTAGTGTCCATTTAAGAGATACAACTTCCTCTTGAATATCCATCTGAATAGCTTCTGCTATCCTCCTCGTATGGATGGTAGTTGCTTGGTGGGAAACTAGGACTGTCTACGAGTTCTGTATTGCTCTCATACTCTGAGCCCGATGTGTTCAGACTGATGCTGGTCGGCCTGGTACATATCCTGGTCGGGCTGTCACGGCTGTTCACGAAATTTGGAGAGCTACGAACGTTCAGGTTTGTGTAGACGGTGGTGTCAGAATGCATGAAACCTTCAGGGCCCTCCTCAGAGACCCTGCAGTAGTTCATGAGAGCAGATGTATCATTAACGATACCATCATCGTAGCCACTGTAAGTGCTCGTACTGGATCGGCAGTACCTTGTGTCTTCAGTGTTACGTTGGTAGTTTGACTCCATTGTCGAATTCCTGGTGTAGGACACGGACTCACAGCTATGCAAAGATTTTCTATATGAATGTGGCTCTGAGTAAACATATCTGTCGCACCTCGGGTAGTGCTCTTGGAATGACAGGTTCGATTCAAATGAACTCTTTGTACAGGTTGGTCCATGGATGGACAGCATGTCGACAAGCTTGCGCCGTTGGTTCTCCAACTTCTGTATTTGAGTTTTCAGATCAAGGTTCTGGGTTTCCAGCAATTCTGATTCCTGTGGACAAAAACAAATACAGATGAACAAAATATTTGTACGGTTTTTGACAGAAAATTGCACAACTATTCCACAGTTTAAAAAGTGTTTACCAGCTTGTTGAACTAATTTGACTAATTTAATTTGAAGTTGTATGGCATGAAAATGAAGAAGATTGTCTAAGAATTTATTTTTAAATTATTAACAATTAATATATATAAAAATGAACAGAAATAAGTAAAAACAGAATAAACATGAAAGGAATAAGCAAGGCTAGATGAATACAATAAAGAAATATAAAATAAAACGAGAAAATCTGCAAACACATGTTGCAAAAGCATCTTATGGAACATTACAGATCATAGGGGATTTCCCATAGAGTCAGCATAAGAGTGATAAAGAATTTATATGAGGAAACTGAAATCCTCACAGGGCTGATAGAAATTAATGTGAGGCGTTCTACAGGGATGTTGTTTATGACCTGTGCTTTTTAACATTTACATCGACAGACCATATTGTGACCTGACAATTTTTGGCATATTCCTAATAGAAATGGACAACTATGCTTCTGTCTGAGGACAATCAGGTAGTTATAAAATAAATAGAAAATGATTTGTGTTCACTAATGCAAGATAAGTTTACTTGAAAATCTCTTCTAGCAAAACCAAAGCAATGGCCTTTGAGGTAATCATATCTGTGAATAGCCACAAAGATTGGACAGTTCCAAAGAATGAACGGCCCTATTCACTGATCTCTTGGGAAGATGTATGAAAAGAAATCTAACTCAAATTTTACAAACTGATGGCAACTTAGTGCTGAAATAGGAAAGTGAACTACGAAGATCCCACTGGAGAGGATCTACGAATCCAAGCAGCAGAAATGAAATTTTTACAGACAATCAAGTTAGGAATATACTTGATGATGGAGCGAATCCAAAAAGGAAAAGAAAAATTGCTTTTCCACATCAAGCAAATGATCAGATTCTGACTATTTAAACGTGTACCTAATGGCTGCACGATAAAGGAAGGTCATGACAACATGGTTGACATGAAGACAGAATCCTAATTCTGTGATGTGAAAAAGAACAAATAAATCTTGTATTTTCAAGAAATAATATGATATAAACAGATACATTTTTCATACCATCGACATAAAAATTAATTTGATATATAATCAGCTTTGTAGAAATTCATTTTACTGAGGGTGCATTGGTTTTACTAACAAAATCGACCTCCATCGAATCAGGAATGCTAGAGAAAGTAATGAAAAATCTCTTTTATTAAGAAGCATTTGCCTTTATGTGTTTTTATTAAAATACGTCCGTTAAAAATCTTTGTATTCTTTAGCGAATAGAAGTTTTGGTGGCTCCTTTGGAGGCCAGGACTTGTGTGCCGTTGGGTGAGGTCCGGGGCCGCGTTCTGACATCGTGAGTCTGTAGACTCGGCAGCAGAATAAGGGACTCATGCAGCAGGTGGCCAGTAAAAATGTCGGCTGTGAGAAGGCGAGAGAGCGCAGCTGATGCTGCGAGTGCCCATGCTGTTGAGCTGGAGTAAACGGCTTGTCCAAGTAGATAGTAAGAGCTCTTCAGAGAAACGAGTTTCCCGGGGAAAACCCTTGCTTTATACGGAATTGCTCCACTCTGATTGGTTAAAGAGTGGAGAACGAGTCCATTCCTGCAATGGTGGTGACACCTATTGTGTACCGTGGTAACTGCAGGAAACCTCACATTCCTTGGAAAAGTTTTCTGACAAAATCCTGAGTAATTCTTTCCCATTCATCAAAAACAGGCGTTTCAAATTCTCGGGGTTTCGCCGTCGTACTCGTCACTTAGTTGGTCCCAAATGTGTTCCATTGGGTTCAAATCTGCAATTCGAGCTGCCAACGCCAAGTACTCAATTCCAACATAGTTCAATGCGTTCTCTATGGTGCGTGGCATTATCCCACATTAGTAAGAATCTCTAACCAATGTGGGGGCAAATGGAACTTAATGTTATTCGATTATGTCTTGTAAGTACCTCTGTGAAGTGAAAGATCTTTCTCGTACAACTCGGCGTGGGCGTCCAAGGAAATGCCACCCCAGAACATTAATGACCCACCACGGAATGCCACCAGCAGGAACCGTACAGCATGGGACATACCTTTCACCTGACCGTCTACATATGAAATAACGCCCATCTGAAGATTTGAGGCCAACTCTCACCTCATCTGTAAAAAGAACTCGTCCCCAATCTTCCAATATCCAATTCACATGTTCCCGTGCCATTTTCAGAACTGTGGCAAGAAGAGGTCCATGAGCCGGGTGCCGGGCCCTGAAGCTATTTTCATTGTGCCCTCTTTGGCTCAACTCCATTGCCAGTTTTGGAGGAAACATATAAACATAGTAAGTACATAAACCAAGTCTTGTAAAATACCCAGGTATTTTCTCCAAAAACGCCTATTTTATCAAATTTAAGTTACAAATAGTTGGTAACATGTCACTAATAGGTGCCGTTACCCTCTCTCTTCCACGGTATATACTTAGGAAAATCTCCTTCACTTTTAACCAACAATTTATACTATCATTCGAGAACCACAACCATATGCTTTACAAAGAAATTTAGAAAATTGTAAATTTTGTTCAATAAGCTATAGAAATGTTATGTTATTAAAAACTGGTGATACCTGAACTAAATTCACAGTTTTTTCCCTCTTCTTGAGACGGCATTTTGTCGCAGCGATTTTATTCCTTTCTCTTCTTCTCCTCCGCCTTTCCTCGTCCTCCGGGGTCAACTAAACACATCATCAATCAATACAGGGAGACTGTGATTGACGATTTTCTAATACTTACCCCATCGCAGGAAGTTTCTCCGATGGGAATGTCCGTGTTGGTCGATTCCTCTTCCTTGGCCTTTTCTTGGAGGCCGGGCTCGCTGTGGTTCCGTCTTTTCGACTGTATCGTATGCTTCAGACCTTCTTTGATCAGCTGCGAACATGTATGCTGCACGCTCGGCGGCGAGCTGGACGACGAGTTGCTGTCCGACTGGGGCGACGATGCCATCCTGGGGCCGTTTTTGAGTATTTCGAAAGGGTTTGTCATCGACATGAGAGAGTTGAGGATCTCAGGGGTGCGAGGCGTCGCCCCTCCTGCGTCCACCGTTCCAACCATCAGGCTATTATTCATATACATGGTTGAAAACTAATGTGAATCCTCCATAAATAGAAATCCTAAGGATAGATTTACAGAAAAATCCTTGATATTTTTCTTCTCATCCAGTCCAAACCATCCAGCCTATAATAAATTAAAAAGAAGTTAATTTAAATTATTTAAAGAACAGCTAAAAAAATCATTATTCAAACAAAAGTTTAGGCATAGAACGTTAAAAAAACAACGGTCTATGGTGGTCTGGGATTACAATTTTTATTAGAAATTATTATTCCAACGAAATGTAGATGTCTGAGAAAATATAACGTCTTGAACAAAGATAACAAAGAATATTTTGAAATAAAGACAATGCAAAGGTAAAACCAGCGATGTAAGGCGGACCCGAAGACGAAAAGTGAAGGACAACGCATTAAAGTACGGCCTTATCTCATTTATTCTACAAAAGGTCTTGAATTTTTAAAAGTCACGTATGGCAGTTGTAAATCTTGGGCTTTACACAAGTGTTCTTGAGCTATTGCATTGGGCAGTCGTAAAGAAGTAGACAAAATAGACTTGTGCTGACAAGGAAAGATAGACAAAAAGAAAAACTTATTATAAAACAAAAGTATGGTGAGCTGCTACTCGGTCACTGGGTCCGTCTACTCTCGTGGTTTTCCATGTTACTCAACCTCGTTTTTGTTTTTACGCCATCTTCACTGGGGAACTGTAATATCAGTAAGTGACCCAGTGCGACCAGACTCGCTTACTTCCATAATCAACTTTAAAAAAAAAGTAACATTTAATGATTTTGTAACGATGAGCTGGATTATCGACCTGCTGGAAACATTTAGTTTTTTCGGAGGATCTACGGAAGAAGTCAACACAGAGAAAAACTTCCTTTCGGTTTTCGCCGAGCTTTCGACAGTTTTTATACTGTCATCTTCAGGGCCTGTTTTATTATCATATAAAAAACACAACAATTAAAAACATGAGAAACAAATTGCACAAAAATTGAAGTATCTTACTTAAACCTTAATGGGGAAATAAAAAGACATGATGTTTTGGGCACAGAAGTACATTACGTTTTTTTTTTTTTTTTTGTGCTCAGTGTATATATGTATGTATAAGAAACACTCTGTGATTGCATGTACCTGAAAACAAAAAAAGGAAGGTTTTTACGAGTTTTTTAGACTTTTATGAGGTAACCTTTTCTCGACCACGTTTTTTAATATTTTTATTGTACTTATAGTTGTAATTTTTAGTTATAAATTTATTCAATTTAAATAATGTTTAGATGCTGAGCACAACAAAAAAAAAATGTACTTCTGTGCCCAAAACACCATGTCTTTTTATTTCCCCATTAAGGTTTAAGTAAGATATTTCAATTTTTGTGCAATTTGTTTTTCATGTTTTTAATTTTTGTGTTTTTTTATATGATAATAAAACAGGCCCTGAAGATGACAGTATAAAAACTGTCGAAAGCTCGACGAAAACCGAAAGGAAGTTTTTCTCTGTGTTGACCTCTTCCGTAGATCCTCCGAAAAAACTTCATTTAATGATTTTGGTAAGCCGTTTTTCTTTCTTTAGAAATATTTCTAAAATTTGCGTCTTTGGAATTAGACATGCAAAAAATTTTTGTTTTTACAGGTCATGTACATCCATGTACAGTTTTACATTATACAACGTACAATCGCAATTTTCGACCAGTCAACGAAAGGTCTTAACGTTTTTACATATTTGAAAATTACGTTTTTAACAATCTGAGACGTGCTATCTATCAAAAGATATTCCTAAAAGTGAAAATCTCAAGCCATTACCGAGATGGCACAGATGCCCCTTCCGAATAGCCCACGTCGGCTTTCACTAATCCGACCGAAGAACTTATCACCTTCAACTTTTGTTCACTTGTTAGAAGACCCGAAAAAATAGAAAGAAAAATTTTGTTACATCGAAAGAGGCAAATGCCAGGTGCGGTTTCAATTATGGACGAGAATCTGTTTTTTATGTTTACTTTTGGAGTCATCCATCAGATAAAAGAGGCAATAATTTCGTGCAATCTTGGTGTTTCCTACAAGGATAATTGATGATTCTGCTGCCCTTTTCGTAGTCTAGCTTTTAAACAGTTTATTTTGATTTTTGTTTGTGTTTATGGCATTTGAAAATTATTTATTACCTACCTTTCAAAGCGGCTCGATCATAAAAAAAATTATATAACTGGGGGTGAGAAATAAACGGGCTTCAGTTTGGCTTAATAAAGTAGACTTTTTAAGCGCTCGAACCTGACTAAATCAACTAAGCATTCGCTTTTTAACTTTAAACTCATTCATGTAAGACACTTTTAGCTCATTTTGGGCTTAATCAGAATTCCTAGAATTTATTTGTGACCTATGGTAACATTGAAAGATAGACTTGATTTGACTCGACTGCAAGTAAACTTTTCTGCTTTTATCACTTATGAGTTTTAGAGCTTTATTCAATTTTAGAAACATTATCTGATTTTTTCATCTAGTTAAGGCTACAAACACAAAAGCTATTTTAGATGACTACTTATTTCGGTTCCCACGTGAAGAGAATTGAATCGAACTAATAACTTGATTTTTTTAACCAATATTATATTACAATCTATTGTAATTTTTCTTTCAAGCCAAAGAGAGTCCGCAGAGGCGAATCAAATTAATGTAGATTTACGATTATTAAGAGCTTTCATCATTGGGTAGTGCTGCCCTATTCAAATAAGCTAACACTGCTAAGACTACCATCAGAAAAACTATCAACCGACAAAAAATTATGTTATTTCAGTACACCCACAATGGAACAATCTTTCATATCAAACTTCGACGTATTTAAAGCTTTTAGTGATGCTTACACAATGATTACAAGCTACAGTTGTTTAGACTTTTCAAATTTTATTTTGGATTGACAAAGTTCAAACACTATTTCCATCAAATTAATGTAGAAATATCAGCATTTTTCAGTGCTGAAATCATGTTCTGATAGAACTGAAATCATTAGTCGAACTGGAAACTATTTCATTAGGTTCTTCCTACCGAAAAACGTTCCTACTACTGCATTAAAAATCCTGAAAAAATACAAGGTATCTGTTCTGTTTTTATCTATTTTAATTTTTGAACGAAGGAAGTAAATATACAATTTCTGTTTAAAATGGCTTCTTAAGACATTTCTTCAGTACGTTAGAAACAGTGAGGTTGAGATGGGAAGTTAGTGTCCGAGTGGATCGAAGTCACGATAGCTCAAGTGGTAGAGCAGCGGCGTATTTAGCCGAAGGTCGTGGGTTCGAATCTCGCTTGTGACGCTGACTTTTTTCTCAACCAAAGCCTTAATTAATTGAAAAGAATTTATTTGGTCAAGCGGGCCACCTTGACCTAATAAATGTTAGAAACAGACTATGGACCTAGTTAAATACTTGCTGTTAAGATCATAGAATAAGAAAGAATTATATTTTCGGCTTATTATACGATTTTTTTAATGTTGGAATTATAATTAAAATTAGCTTAAGTTTTTTTTATAATAACAAATTTATTAGGTCATTGCTGAACCAACCAAAAAACTTAGTACTTCAATCTTATGAAGTACTATTGTGGACTCGCTCTTCTTTAAAGGCTAAGACTCTCAACTCAAAAGGTTTTTATTTGTTCGTTCAACTTAGACAATTGAGGCCACAATCAAATGAAGAACTAACTTATTTACGAGCTTTCTTCAGTGTTGGAACCTTGCCCTGTCTTTATGACTTTAAATTGTTTAGAATATTTGACTCACATAGCTATTCTAATGCTATTCGATTTCGGTCTCTGGGCCGAAGTAAATCCAGGCTCCATTCCATTCCGGGACCAATCCATCAACGTCAAGCGGTTTCCAATTTGACACGGTGACAAAAATGAGTCACGGCCGGTTTCGTAATATTTTTCCACATTTTCAAGTGTGTCCGTTTGCTCTTATCGGGTGGCCGGCTGGTAGCGGGTCCGAGGGCATTCGCCGTTGTAAATCTTTCTAATGCTCCCAAGGGGGAGTTCAAAGGGAAGCTAAATTAATTTATAGAACAAAAGGGCCTTTGTCTTCATAAAGCTATTGGCCTGGCACGTCAAACCTCACCATCAATTCACAGCCTTGTGACGTTCTCTCTCCGAACGCTTTAAAAAATGTGGAAAAAACCTTCAGAACTATAAGAAATTCTTTAAGGTAAGTTTTTCAAATTCCCTAAACTACTCTACTAGGACAACTATTTAGAAAGCCAAGTATTTCCTAGCTAAGTAGTTCCTAGGTGTAAATTCTGCCATTCTGAACAAACAGCTTAAAGAAAAGTGAATTCAAGAAATCCTAGTATAAATAATATGATATTTTGGTGTGACTTATTTTAACAAAGAAAAAATTAGATAGTCAAATTTCAATAGATTTTCGATAAACATCTTGCTTGTTGATTTCACCATCCACTAAAATTTTTAAGCTATCCAACAAATTGAATTAATCTTATGTAGTATTAAATTTTATATTCAGTTTATCACAGTGAAAATTTGAGCTTATACACTGACGCAAAAAATTCCACCTATTGTCATATAGCTTGATTTGTATATATTTTTATATATGAATCAAAGTTTCACGTTTTTTAACACTTCAATAATTTGATCTTTGTCTAAAAAAGTAAAAAAATCTAAACTTCTAAAGAAAATAAAAAAAGACCGACAGTTAAAATTTGTTTTAGATTTTTAATTAACATTTCAATATCGCGTATTTCCTCCTCTTGCCTTAATTACTACCAGTCTGGAAATGTCTTTTTGCTGGAGGTTAGCCCATTCTTCACGAAGAGTCCTTTCAAGTTCGTGGAGTGTATCAGGAAGTGATGGACGTGCCGTCTTTTGAGGTTATCCCGTAAATGTTCGATGGGGTTCAAGTCTGGAGAACGAGCAGGCTAAGACCCTGATGTTATGCTGTTGAAGGTACGTTGTACTATACGAGCGACATGTGGACGGGCATTATCCTGCATTAGAATAGGATTGTCTCTGATTTCATCGAGGATAGGCAAAGCACGATGTTCCAAAAATTCACCCACATAGCGATTGGCCGTCAAAGACCCTCCTCGAACAACAACCAACTCTGTGAGAATCACTATTGAAATTCCCGTCCAACCATCA